CTTCCAATGTCCTTTCTTCTTACAGTGAAAACATTCAGCATCATATATTGATTGCAAGATCAAATCTTCAGAAAGCTCTTTACCAAGCTTGTACCCCAACTTCTCAAGTTTTTCGGTAAGATCAATCACATGATTGTCGTGGGGTCCAATTGGAGAGTTTCCAATGTCCAGCTGTGTATCAACCATCTTCTTAAGATATTCAATGATTGCAGTTGGATTCATTTTCTGATGTTTCCTTTGGAGTTTCGAACTCATAGTAGCGAGAATGATGTGTTTAATAGCAAGGCATTCTTCCAAGTATTTCTGATAAACCTTGGTGCCTTCAACATCATTCTCTGGTGGGACTATCTTTGCTGGCTTATCGATCACATCAATGAGCTTTTCATTCATTAGAACAATTCTCAAATTTCTATACCAGTCATCAAAGTTTGGTCCTACCAACTTGTTGGTCCCAAGTATTTTACACAGTGATATCTTTATTTCTGTTAGTGGAGTAAAGAAATCATGCAACAATATGTATGAGCCATTTGGAAGTCAAATCGTTTCTCACATATATTTTAAAGGTACGTACTCTTACCAATTGTATCCCCGTACAATTTCCTTAAATAGCTCTATGTCAAATAATCCCTTGGTAGTTAGGTCGATCCTATTGGCATAGTTGAGTTCAACCATCATGATAGCAAAGAACTTATTAAATTTTATACTCCCCGGGTACTCCAGGCGTCTAGTTTAAAATTAAATAATTCTTTCAATCCATGCATCTAATGCAATAAATAATTTTTACATATTCTCAAACTATAAGTCTCATGATTGTCAGGCCGCTCCTTATAAACAAGAAATAAATAAAATTATTTATTTTGATGGATAGCTTTACAATGAATTATCTTATAGTTTATTATTTAAGAACTCAAATTTTAGTAAGAGGGAATTGTTACTAAAACAACTTTTAGCATGTGATTTTAGTTCAAGTTGTCTACATGCTTTGTCCTAATTTAATTTACATCACATGTAATAAATAATTCAAAATTATGTAATGAACAAGCACGTGACATAAAAACGAAATTCAACATTCTTCTAACATGTTTATCTTATACTATATCACATAAAAATAAATCATGCCAGAATATTATTATTAATTAACATCTCATGAACTAATAACAATTAAAATAACAGTAGAATCCAATAACCTATTATAGATTACCGACGTATCTAATACAAAATTTCAAATTCAAGTTATGAACTATCTAAATAGCTTAACTTATATGAATACATATTTTATTCACAATAAAATAATATCAATTCATGTGCATTCAAACAATTTGACTATTACACAAAACCCATGTATTATGGTTTGAACTCTTCAAATATAATCTTAAAATATTTCGTAAATAAATTTTAGACACAATAAAACACGGTTCTGATACCACTGTAGGATTGCCGATTGCATATCGATGTACGTAACACGCAACGGAAGACAATAACAATTCTAGGCAGATCTTTTCATGTTTAAAATTTATTTACATGTCAAAGATCGAATCTAAGACGTACCTGGTGAATAGAGTCTCGTTTCAAAATTTCTTCGATAATGTTAAGACTCTATGCGTATCCACACCGAGACCGATCCTTGCTATCAACTCTTTGATCAATGAAATCGCTAACAAATTGGATGAAAAATACCATGCTGAAGTTTTTTCTCATAAACCTTCAGTGTAGTGGTAATCGGACAAGAAACTATTTTTCTTGTCAAAAACGTTTCTCTCGGCTTTTGGATTTTTTGAAGACAATCTCTACTGCTACTAGTTGAATGATACTTATATATATATCATTAACCATAGCCTTCTTTCCTTTTATGTTAAGGAAAAGGCTAATGACGGTGACTTCACGTAGCTAAGCCCAAAGTTCTTAAAATTGGACTTGTACAATTTTCTTATAAAATTGCAAATCCCATTCCTAATGGGAATCATATGAAAGCCACGTCCAACATATATACATAGTATATATGTATTGATAATTATCTTAGATAATAATTAACCAAGAGATATAATTCAATATACTATTCTAAATAGTAAAATCCAATTTGCTTACAATATTCATTAAATTTTGTGTGCTATCAAAGAATATAATAATATTTCATCCGTATTAATAACTAACTTTATTTGACTAATTAAATTGTTTAATTTAATTATCAAATAAAATAATTAATCCTTTAGCAAAGATCAGAACACTCGTTAGTGTGCAACTCCATAGGTTCAATACTAAACCGGTAGTAGATTGATTACATCAATATACTAATCAAGGATAGCGTCTAGCAACTCTCCGTAACGACCAGATAGAATGAAGTATGCAATTTACTCTGAAGAATCAGTAGAAGAATAATGTAGTAATTTCTTCTGTCCTTATAACTCCGGGTCACCCTAGGATAATAGTTCAAATGTCAAATCCTAATAGGCGACCAACTATGTGCTCATGTCAAATATAATCGACTATTGAATGACCTAAGAAACTCCATTTTTCTTTCATTCAATTGCCCTAGCCAAGGTCTTAATTTGGTCGTTTACAATTCATGACAACATGGAGCTTAAATTCATTACCAAGAGTTGACAGATTCCATCTTGATCAATCGCTAATTCTACAAGTACAAGTATTTAATCGTACCCAGTATCCTTTCAACTATCGCCCTAGGGCCATAGGTATCTAGTATCAAAACACAATAAATAACTTGTCAATTACGATGACGATCTGAGGTCAAAGGAAACTTTTACATCACATTCTTCAAGAGAATATCCTATTGACAATTTGTGGTAATTTTAACCATTAGGAATTATCCAATGAGTCGGTTCAATGATCATATCTCTATATGCATCATCTATCTATGTGATTTAGTTAGTGAGATCAACTAATCTTTATCCAATAAACACGATCACATAAATATTGATCTAACCGGATCACTAATGTCGAAATTAATAATCCTACGATTAAGAACAAATTTAGATTAAATTATAAGAAACTTCACTCTCATTATCATGATCTCCATCATAATATCAAGTCTCAAAATTTAATCAAGGAACTTATCATGTTAATCAAACAATTAATAATAACTATGATGAAAGAATATCATATGCCATATATTTTTATATCAAATAACGTTCATAAAAATGTGTTCAAATCATCAAATATGAGATTGGATCTAGGGTATAGCTACTATATCCCTAACACAAAATATATCCTTCGATTATCAAGCTTAGCATCTTGACAAGTACAATTATGAGCATAATGAAGGCAACCATTAGTGGGGATAAAAAGGCAACCTTTTCTATGAATTTACTGTTACGAAGGACACAGGTGCTGGAGTTTGGACAAGTAATTTGTGGAGTCACTTAATTTTATAATTTCTTGATTGAGATAATCTATACTATATTAAAAGTATGAATGCACTTAGCGAAATGTCGTTCGCCTTTTATACCTTTTAGGAATATATTTTGTACTGGACAAAGTAGTAATTTTAGTTATTTTCCTTATATGTAGGAATAGTCATTTAATTATTTTTCTAATATTTAGAAATAATTATTTAGTTATTTGCCTAATATTTGATATGAAAATGATATAATTATTTAATTCGAGTTCTTTCAATTTCCTGCCGGTTCGAGGAGTCTTTAATTTTATAAGTTTACGAGTATTATATTTTGTTTGTCAATTTTTTTGTTTAAGAGTCCATGTTGTCCTATTCTTATTCCACTTTTAGGTTTACGAGATCTTTTTTTTTGGGTTAAAAAGTTTTAGGTTTAGTATTGCTTATTTTCTTCTTTTTCAGAACTCCTTTTCTTCGTATAATTGTCATTTGGTTATACAAAATGAACTAATTTATTCTTTTTCTAATCTATTGGAAATATTTCATATAATATTTATTATTAATTAAAAAAACAATTTTCATTTTACTCTTGAAAAAAAGTATTATTTTCTATCAATTTACTAATCCTGTTTGAGTCTTCTAAAATGAACTTGTGAATAACTTTTCAAAAAAAAAAAAAAAATTCCAAAAAGTTCTTAAGTTTTCAAGGATTATATGTGATTGATGAAATTGGAAAATAAGCATACTAACTTATGAATTTAAAGTGATTGAATTAAAAATCTGAAATAAATTTTTAGTTGAATATATTGACTGATGATTGAGAACTTGTATGAAGATTCATCATTTTAGGGAATATTAACTATTATCTTATCACCCAAGCGTGATATTTTAATATATTATTTATATAATATTTTAAAATTCTTTCTTATTGAGATAGTGTACACGCGCAAAGCACGTATCATTAGACTAGTTAATTTCAAAATGTGTTTACTTATGCTGAAACTGAATTTTTGTTTTATTATCCTTACATCCCGATCAGCTACAATGTAGTTCCTGCCGAATGTCTGTGGAGTTTCAAACTCTCCAAGTTATAATTTTCATGATAAAAACTCCCTTTACTGCAATCTCTGGTCCAACTTTAGACCAGATCATCTAATTTAAATGTGCTTGGGATTATCCTGATATCGGAATCTTTGCTGGGCTGAGAACCACGTAAAACTGTTGAAGTTTTAGGATTCAACAGGAAACCAGCCCATTTGCTTGGCGGACCATTTCCGCCATTGACTTGTGTCCTGCATAATGCCGTTGATATTTGATATAAGGAATACTACAAATATGCAATTCACTTTTGATTTTCTTTTTCCCTTAGCCTGTTAATTCAAGGTACTGTGACAGAAATATGAGAAAATAAGATTCTGTTGAATTATGGAAAATTTTGTTGCACCTAAATTCGTCTTAGAATGCTTTTAAAGATTTTCAAAACCTCAGTTGCCATTGATCAGTATTCAGTCCATGACTTGCACTACTGGTATGCCACATCAGTTCTTGCATAGCAACTAGAACTTGTTTTTAGAAGAATTATGAGGGTGATGTGTTGCACTTGTATCTGTGAAAGATAAATTTATGACACGGTAAATGCAACATGTGACAGCATGGTGTAATGGCGGATGAGACAACTGAAACGAGTACATCTGGATGTGGTAAATTACTTCTTCTTTCCTACATTACCTCTTTATCTCTTTCCCTGAACTTTGATAGCTGCCATCAAATAGATTTCACCGGCCTCCAATTAAGTCTTATCATAACATTTTTGGGTTATATTTCCATTTTAATAGGTTCTCTAATCCTTGAAATGGGTACATTATCACGTTTAACCGGTGATCCGAGATTTGAGATGGCAGCTTTGCGTGCTCTTCGTAAGTTATGGAGCATGCGGAGTTCTCTAAATCTTCTTGGCACTACACTGGATGTAGAAACTGGAAACTGGATTGAATATTCTTCTGGAATTGGAGCTGGTATGATTCTGTAGTATAGCACTTTTTAGGAGAATTCTCCACCGCTGTTCTCCTCAAATTAGTTCCGTACACTTTTTGTAAATGTCTTCTGATTCCATTGTTCTGATTTGCGTAGCTAAATAATGTCCCAGCCTTCCTTGTTTTATCTATTTCTCAGAGCAACATGTAATCTCTTGACGCTTCATTGCTTTTTGCTGTCTTTTAGGTGTGGATTCATTCTATGAATATCTGATGAAAGCCTATGTTCTATTTGGAAGAGATGAATTTTGGAAGATGTTTCAATCTGCTTACATTGCTGTGCAGAAATACTTTAGGCATGGCCCATGGTACTATAATCACACCTTGTCTGGAAATTTTGGATTTCTTTGTTTTCGTTTGTATTGCCATCATATAGCAGTTGATCTGATTATTGGTTCATTAGCCTGGGTAGTTCTCAAATTCAGCAGTCAGATCAAGATCACAACATTTAATTTTGTGTAGGTATCATGAAGCTGACATGAGAACAGGAAAAGCAACATACTGGCAGCTCACAAGTCTTCAAGCATTTTGGCCTGGATTGCAAGTAAGATGGAAATTTGTAGCATATAAATCTATAGGAAAAAAGGGCAGCCCAGTGCACAAAACATCCCCTGTTCACGCAGGGTCCGGGGAAGGCCCGCACCCCAAGGGGTGTGATGTGAACATCCACCCTAATGCAAGCATTATAGGTTGCTTTCACGGCTCGAACCCGTGACCTGTAGGTCACACAGAGACAACTTTACTGTTGCTCCAAGGCTCCCCTTCTATAAATTCATAGGAACACTTTATGTAAATCTTTGTTGTAAATAGGACATATACTCCATGCCTGCACATCCGTTCTCTTAATAAACTACTCGTTTCGTATGTACGTAAAAGAATAACTCTAAGTTGAAAACTGGAAGTGATAATTGATCTCGTCCAATTTCATTTCTTTTTTTTTTTGTCTTTATGAAAATGGTCGATGCAATAGTAATACCCAACAAGAGTCGGGGTCGAATTCCGCAGGGAGCTATATGAATGGGAGTTAGTAGTATATATCTTAGCGTGTGAGTTTGTATATCTAAATTTGCACTTCCGCAAAATTTGGTTGTTTAAAAACCTAAATTACACTACGATTGCAATTTAAAGACTGAAACTAGGAAATTGTTTTTTTTGTTGTTTTTCAAATGATATAAAAGGCCTAGGGCTATGACCTTCACCTAGGTGTTTGCCTAATGGATTGTAAATTTTAAAGCTTGTTTTATTGGTCGGGGTGTATTATAGCTATCAACACTCGGTTACCCACTCAATACCTCTCGGTCAGAGAGTGATTTTGCCCAATTTGGCTTTCTCAACTCCAAATAGGTATTGAACAAAACGATTGAATAAAAGCTCAAGTCGGGTTTTACTATCTCTAGGTTCAACCCTTTAATTGGGCTTATCTATCTCTCGATTGACCCGATTTCTTATTAGCCAAGACTAAGCCTCTCTTTCTCAAGTAGAGACCAAGTCAAATAGGCATGAACTAATGTTTGCTACAATTAATTCTTCAAATAAAAGCAAAAACAAGGCTAAATATTAAACATTCAACCATAAAACAAGCAATAAATCAAACACCCATTAAGTTTACACACTAGGGTTGTGTGACAACCCTAGTAAAAATCTAGCTACTCATGCTTAAATTGGAAGAAAAAGAAGAAGAAATGATAATTAAACCCATATTGCTAATTAAAATGATAAACTCTATGTTCAAAAAGCTCAAAATAGCAAAAACTACTAAAAAGAGTAAAAGGAACCGTCTACTGTAGCAGCTGATATCAAAAGTTAACCTAAAAAAGTGAAACTCTTCTATTTATACAGGGCTGGAATTTTCGGATAAAAATACCCTTTCGAAGGTTCTGTGGCCGCACAATTCCATGTGCGGTCCGCACTTTTCTTCAGCTTCACAGGATTGGAAATCTGCGGCCGCATAATTCTGATCTGCAGCCGCACTGCACTCTTTCTGCGGTCCGCAAAATTGTAAGTGCGGCCGCACCTTGTTCTTCTGCGGTCCGCACAAATGTGACTGCGGTCGCATAGCTCTTCTTCGGCGGCCGCACTTTTGGTGGACTTGAGATGTAGGTTCTCTGAACTTTTGCTCTGACCCAGCTTCTGCGGCCGCACACTTCATGTGCGGACCGCACTTTGCAACATTCTCTGATGGAAGATTCTTCACAACCTGCGGCCGCAGATGATATTCTGCGGTCCGCATTTTTGAGCTTTTGTGCCTGTTTTTGTCCTTGAGTTCAGATTACTCCTTCTTGAGTTGGATTTCATCTCGGGAGCTCATCTTCCAATATTCCTGCAATTAAGCACAACTCATCAGTTTTCGGGAACATAATTAAGCGCTTTTGGACTAAAACCAAAGCTAAAGGGCGCTAATAAGTAGTCAAAATCCCCACTTATCAACTCCCCCAAACTTAAGCTTTTGCTTGTCCTCAAGCAAATAAAGTAGTTCCCACCTCCACAAGCTAGGAGCCATTCCAGCTAATCAAAAGTGAATCAATCACACATCAATTGGGACCAACAATTATCCACACCACTTATGAATTATCAACAAGGCAACAAGTTAAACTTTTAAGCACAAATAGTTCTAGTGTGACACTTGAGCATCAAGAGTTGACTTTGTTCATCAAGGAAGCTCGCTTTTTTATGTAGGCCATTGTGGATCTCAAACTCCTCCTCCTCTACTCTTCGTTTGCCTATCTCACTTAAAAATATAGCACTTAATCCAAAGATTTATGAAAGGTTTGCTCATCTCTCTCAAAAGAATGTCGCAAGTACGGCTTTAAGTACCATAGGCTTGCCCCTCATGTAAATCACCACTAATGTAAGCTCACTCTGCTTGAAATCACGTAGGGCTTTTTCGGAATGCAATGAAGGCTTTTGGACTAAGGTTGGAAATGCTATGATAGATTAAGTTCATCTTTCCTTAAGTATTCCATTTTCTTTTCTAGGCTCATGCTTTGCCAACTCTTTTAGGCATTTTCTTTTCCTTAGGGGAACTAGAGAGACTTAACATCACTCTTTCTTGGTCATGATATTCATCTTCTCCTTCTTTGATTTCTCCATGCTTTGCATCATTACTTTTCTTTGAATCCCTTCAACTCTTCAACTTATTCACTTTCTTTTAGCATTTTTCTTTTTGTTCTTTCTTTTTCTTGCCTTTTCTTCTCTTCATTTCTTTTCTCTTTTGTGCCTTGATACCTTTTTCAAATTCCTCGTCTCTCCCCCAAACTTACGTTTTTAGCCAATTGTTTCACAAGAGTGTTAAGAAAAGCTCGGGTGCCAAGAGAGGGTCACGACAAAACGGGTAAAGGCTTGTTACATGGTTATCAAATGAGAAAGGTCTTAGGCTCGAATGGGTTGACTAGGGATAACAACATTGGTGGGCAACGAAAAATTTCAAGCGGGTCAGTGAGAGCCTACAATCACTTCTCAAGCCAAACAAAACTTAAAATTTCGCCTAGAAACACATTCGGGGCAAGTTCTAGACCATTCGCCCGGGTACTTGGACTTGCAACAACAATATCTCACCTCTCACGCAGCTGGATTGTTAAACAGGATAGAGTCGAGGGCCCACAACGACCATATTCAAGATTGAAAATTACTATGGTTCGACTAAACCACTCGATGATTGCCTAAGCCGACACAAGAGTCAAAAGGTCACTAACTAGAGCTATTTCTTTCCAAAAACCTTGTTTTTAACCATAAGCACGTAGTTAAGTGTGTTGGTACCAAGTGAAATATGTTTGACTCTTCGAGCATGAATCAATTAGGTCTTTTTATTCATTATTACTACTATTATTATCTAAACACCAAAAACGGACTCAATCCCTTAAGAAAGTTTTCACGCCATCCATCGTTGGAAAGAGCCGCCCGGTTCACACAAAAACCACCTTCGGAAAGAACCGTGACATTAAGAAAATTAGAGGCTTATTATCCACTAAAACATAAAAAGAAGCTATTAAATAAAAAAGAAGCTACTAATTCAAAAAGAAGACAAGCATAAAGATAAAGAAGCTTTAAAACAAAAGAACTATTGAAAGCTAAACGAATATACATAATGAGAGATAAGAGGGAATATATACATAATGAGGAAGAGGAAGAAAATAGTAATAAGTTAATTACAGGCCAAATGTCTCATAGTTATCAAAATACAGAATCATTAGAATGTGTCAAAGAAACTCCACCCCCCGACTAAAAATAAGCATTGTCCCCAATGCTTAACAACATAAGAGTAAGAGAAAGGTGAGAGTGAAGAAAACTCCCTATGGCTCTGTGGCCATCTCTGTGTCTCCAACAGTGGCACCGACCTCAGCGTCATCCAATTGGATCTCATCATCCTCAAGTCCGGGAGTGGCTGGGTTGGTGAACATCTGACGGACTGCCTCAGCAGTGTCTGGCTCCTCAGACTGGCCAGCTGGTACTGTAGGTGCTGTAGGAGCTGGGCCTGGGTGGTGCGGGTCTATCAACATGTCAAATGGAATGTCTCTAGCTGCTGCAAGCTTTGTAATCTGGCTCCGAAGCTCGTCCACTGACTTCTTAGATGCCTGTCGCTTTCTTATTTTCTTTACCACTTTGCACAACTCTTCGATCATTGTCCCATGCTGCACTAAAGTGGCCATGATCGTGTTTTGATTTTCCATGAGCTTCTTCAAAGTTCCATCAACTGTGGGGGAATCTGGGGTGCCGGAGAGGATGACTGTGCTGCAACATGACTGGATATGTCAGTCAGCTTTGCAGTAGTTGTATGCATCCAGTTGTTGAGGTTCACCAGTGTCTGGGAGACTCGCAGCGCAGAGAGTGGAGCAGATGGCATAGGTACCGGCTTCAAAGCCGAGGTGGGAGGTACTGAGGCTGAAGGTGGAGTCATGGCAGCTGCACTGGTAGAAGGCTCTGCTGAATTGGATGGCATATCAGTTGTCTTTGTACCCACCACCGATGGCTCATCAGACTGGCCTACGGTGGTGTCGGCTGACCCTTTCTCTTTGGGTTGTGTGCATTCATTAGAGAATACCAAGAGAAGGGCTTCTTCGCCCGAACCTTCATGTCATAATCTCTAGGTTCTACCCGTGCATCCGTAAGGTATTCAGTGATGGTGTTGGGATACGGGTAGGAAGTATCAGCTTGCCTGGCGACCACTGACATGTTGGCCGACATCACTGCACTCACATTGATCGGGTACCCGGCCATAATAGAGGCGAGTAGAACTGCCCGTGGAATAGGTAAGTTTGTCTCGTTCAGGCACGGGTCTAGTCTGCTGCATACGAAGGTCTGCCATCCCTTCGCCTCGAAATTTAGGGTGTTCCGCTGAATAGGAACCCCTGCAATGATCCATGGTGGTGGTGGCCCCGGGGATGCAAGAAGCTCAGCTAGCCATGGGCGAGCTGCATCACCCGTCAGCCAGCTTCTCCAAAATACTGTGCCGGCTCAACGTCCTCAAACCCCAAGTAGGAGTTCAGTGTGTGCTGGTCGAACTGCACCTTCAGATTTCTCACTTTTGTAACTTTGGTCCCTTTCTTT